TATCCATCTTAGGTCTTTGAGAAGAAGTTCGTGTATGTTGTTAAGAAGGAGTCCTTGACTGTATCCGGGCTAGTCTGTAGGAGCGTAAGCATAAACCACGAATAAGCATTGTTCATTTGGTTTCTGCTTTTTGACCTTACTTGAGCCTCTGAGTCTCACTGCGCTTAGTCGGCTATCTATCGGGATCCAATCCAGTAGACCAGCCTCGTCCCTGGCGCTTAAGGCAATACGAACGCCTGCTTGACCAGACGCTGAAACGATAGGGTCACCGGAAACGCGCAGTTAAAACGCTTCTTTTGGATTAGAAAGTGATGTTAATCGGATCAGAGCTCGGATCCTGAATGCTTGTTGCCGAGAGGTAACATACATAAATTTCTAGACTTTCGAGCATACGAGCCAAACCTGCTTGTTGTTCTAGAAGCATTAGGGCTTTAACGTTGAACGAACCCAGATTGAAAGCAGAATGAGGTCGGAGAAATGGAACGGTCGGCTCCGAATGACAAGGCAATGTCGAGACAAATGTCAAGGAGGATAGAAGCGAGCTACAACGTAAACCTACGTCAGTGGGACCGTTCGAAGTGGGATATACAGTGGAAAAATGGGATTATTGTGTGTGGGGCGGATGGAAGTGTTGCGTGCAGATTTTAAGAGAGAACTTTGCACGAGTGTAAGATTATGAGATATGTGTGAATGCGTAAGTTCATAAGTCCATGGTTAGTTTGTGGGCGTGGTACTACCCGGTTGCCCAGGTCGAGGTAGAGGGTTTTCTTGGGGGACCCTACCCGGAGCCTTTGGTTAAAGAACCTGACCCGCAAGGCAGTGGGGTGGAGTAGGGAGTCCACGATCCTCTGGGAGCCGGTGACTGAGGGGGCGGGAGCAGTTCATACGCCTTTCGGATGCGGCCAACTATCCAGGGCACCCAGGTTACCCTTGAGCCGCGCACCTACCGGTGAGCATCATGGTGGTCAACTCCAAGCATTATTTTTGGAGACCGGTTCGGTTGCGCCGAAGATCGGTGCCACTATGAGCTTCTTACGCCAGGTGTGGGTGGTTTGGAAGCAGGGTTTAGCCACCTCCCCTAAACTGACTACCAGTCGTCAGTCAACCCGGTGGAAAGCGCCAAATATTCGCCTTTGCCTTCCCACTTTAGTGTTAACACCTCCGCCACGAGAAGGCAGTGGGTAGGACTTCCTCAGCAGAAGCTATTTGAGGCGCTTGGTCCTTTGGGAGCATTTCTAGAGGAGTTCGGGACGAATGGCCATTTCGGAGCCCAAGACACTCACTCCCGACCACACTGAGGCATTTGGAAGACGTGTGTTACAAATGTCACCAAATAGGTTGCCACGAACGCGATGTTTGCCGAAGCAGGTAGTGGATGAGAAAAATATTCAAGGGTGATCAAAAACCTGGCACGAGGGTATGAAAACCCTAACCAGGGAACTCGATCACATGGATCGAGTTAGGCTCCCTCGATGTGGAACTCGAAATGACTGCAATCATTGGTTAGAGACACTGAGTAATATGGCTGAGCGTCGTAAACAGTTGCACTCATCCATCCTTCCGATTTCTTTGCAACCTCAGTCCACCAGAATTCTTCATTTTCTATGTTTGTGATGTTTATAATTGTCCGATGCACGTACTTATTTCTTACAGTCTTCAAAAAATGTTAAACAACCATTTAAAAAAGCAAAAGAACACTTTTTAGTGGAAGGTTAAGCAGCAGCTATTGGTTTCCATCGACAGCATAATGTTATAACCCTTGAAAAAGCCATTTTTCGTCCCTTGTGTATTTCCTCCTTTTACCAATTCTCTTAGTTCTGTTGAAACGGTCGAATTTTTGGCCTTCAAGTATACTTCTATTCTTTTCCATTGTCCCTCAGTGTTCACTTTCCTCCTAAAAATCTTGTATCCTGCTTCATATTCAGATGACTAATAGATGATATACTGGCCATTTAAGAAAAAATGTGTCCTTCCAAACGAGCTGTCATTCTCTGCTTTTTCCGATGCTTTAGGAATCTTTTCCGGACAGAATGAGGTTAAACAACTGGTAACAAAGGATAATGCGTCAACCAAAAAGAGCTCGTAATGACGACTTCAGCATTATATAAGCCTAGAGAGGGGGACCGAAAAACGTGCTTTTACTGTTTAAAAAATTGTTCTTTCTAGTTAGAACTCCAGATCCGATCTTCATCCGTTGGCCTGACTAATTTCATTAACTTCACTAAGTCGAAATCTCGTCTGAGATTTTTTCATGCACAAAAAAAGCGAGCATTTTTATCTATCCCGTACCAGACCATGTTTGGATTTTGTCTTCTAAGAACCCACTTGATTATCAACATTCAATTATGGATGAAAAATGGCGCCGGCAACATGCACGAGGGTTGAGCAAAAGGTTTCCAGGTACGGTGTACACGTACGAGACGTAGATGACCGGGTAAGAAAAACGTAAGCTGCATCTATTGGGAGTATTGCACAGTGATTGCAGAACCTAATATCAACCGCCGGGCACTTCATCGTACAGCTAAATACAGAGAGGGAACTTCACAGAACGCTTCCAAACTCGCAATGCATACAAGATTAGTGATAAAATTTGAGGTGGATAGGGACTACACAAATTTGGGAGAAAGTAGGCGTAAGTGAGGTAATTAAGGAGTTTGATGGCACACTGATTTGAATTCAGGAACGCCGTCTTGGACGTTGGGCAGAACATTTTAAAGCATACTTCAGCTGGTCCCCGTCGACACAAAACCTCCCCCTACCCGCTTCAACTGTGCAAATACCACCAGTTGACATCAGTCTTCCATCTAAAATGGAGGTTACCCAGGAAATAAGTTATCTCAAAC